GCAAAAAACAGTTCGCTATGCGGATTCGTCGTTAAACGGTGCGCTCGTTATGTGAGGCACCACTGTACAAGGTTCTTGTGCACACCATTTTAATGCTCTCTCAAGCAGAACGGTCAGGGCTGGGAGCAGAGCCGAGGAACGGACTGGCCCAAGATTACCATGGTTTCATGATTAAAGAGGACATGAATTGGGATCCTCTAAGTCTCAGCCCAATACACTTAACTACTACTACACACTGCCTCTTATGGTTTCCTGAACGGTTTACCTAAATACAAAGTCAGTTGTAAACAAATGCTGTCAGTGATGCTGTAGTACCTGCTTCTTGAAGTAGCCAATGGCATATTCATCAGCATAGGTGAGGAAGTAGAGAATGCCGTGTTTGATGTGGTACTCTTTCAGATGATTCATTAGGTGAGTCCCATAGCCCTTCAATGAGGCAAGGAGAGGAGGAAAAGAAAATTATTGCAGGAAAATCAGGAAGAAGTCCACAGACTAGGTACTCATGCAACAAAATGCATATGATATTGTGTGTAAATTATTTTGCATTAATTCAAGATTGATTTGTAGCAAATTATAATCAATAAAGACAACCCAAGGTAATTAATACATCAACTGAACAGTTATTATGTTGTATGGCTTTTAAGCCAGCAGATGCTCAACGGAGTTCAAAGTCCCTCCTTGCCGTGACAAGAATGTGGGCCCAGAGAGGAAACCTTGGGCCTTTCAGATGTTTTGGACTACAGCTCCCACAATCCCCTTCCACTGACCATGATCGCTGAGACACCTGAGCACTTAATTAAGACTCCCAAAGGTTCCCCATCCCAGCATTCAGGTAACTGTGTTCTAGCAAGCACCCTTTTATTTGTCTTTTCTCAGAAGCCATGTAAGAATGAATTAAAAATAATGCTGTAATCCCAGATATAGGTTTACTCTGAAGCAATCTCCACCTGTACTAAATGGAATTCACTCTCAGGTAATGGAGGACTGGATTACATCTGGAACTGACTGCTCATCTCTACCTCACACTTCCAGTGAATTGTGCGAAAGAGAAACATCCACAAGTTCCTGAACAAGAGCAGGAGAGAAGCCTAGCTGGGGAAGAGGAAGCCATTCACCTCCACTCCTACTCACTAGTTTCATTATCTCACTTTTTTTGGCACACCATCCCCTTTCTGTGGTATAATTTTGCTCATCTCCACACAACCCATTCTCTAGACAACTCTCATGTTCATTACATATAGCACGATGACTCACCCCAATTTAAATTCATTTTTTCTCTCTCTCACCTAAGGTTACTGAAGACTTAACTCACTTCTTGTGCCTACAAAGGACTATCATTATTTTTTCACCTCTTTTACCATTCAGTTTTTGGCTCCTTCCTCTGATATAATTTTCAAGCTCTGTGGTTCACTTTCAAGTGTGTTCACTCCCTTGTTGCTCATCACATTTCTCTGCTTTCTCTTCATGATCCGTGTCTGCTACCCATAACTCTGGTTCCACAGCCAGATACCTAAACCATTGAGCTATCCAGATGGCTTTGGAAGCAGTATAAGGACATGCACAGGCAACAAGCATCCACATTCCTTATCTTTATCCCAGACATGATCTTCCAGATAAAGCACTACTGCCAAAGTACAACTCCCATCATACTTCACTACTGGTCACGTTGGAAGGCATGGATGACATCTGGAGTTCAGGAACACCTGGATAGCCACTCCTTACCCAACTCCACCTTAGCGCCCACTGGTTTTAGTGGGCAAGAGCATTCTTTCATTTAAAACACAAAAATTAGATTTTTTGGTGTATGAAAGGTGACTGAGGTTTTGGTATGCAAGAAACTATTCTTCGCTTTGCCTTCTCACACATTGCTTTTTATTTAATAAATATATTTTTTAATAAATCCATTCAAAACAGCATAACAAAAACAATACCTATTGTGTTACAATAATATTTATTTATTTTATTTATTTATTGGACTTATATACTGCCCCATAGCGCTACAAGCACTCTCCGGGCGGTTTACAATTTTTAATTATACAGGCTACACATTGCCCCCCCAGCAAGCTGGGTACTCATTTTACCGACCTCGGAAGGATGGAAGGCTGAGTCAACCTTGAGCCGGCTACCTGGGATTTGAACCCCAGGTCGTGAGCACAGCTTTAGCTGCAGTACAGCGTTTTTAACCACTGCGCCACTTTCTCATTTATAAACTCGTATATCTTCATATAAGAGTTCAACACTTCATCTCAGCGTTGTAGGGAAGCTGCTGGCCCGTGTTGTGCTGAAGAGGTTCCAGGTGCTTACAGACAGAGTCTATCCAGAACCACAGTGTGGATTTTGAGCTAATAGGTTCACCACTGACATGGTATTTTCCCTCAGACAGTTGCAGGAGAAATGTAGGGAACAACGACAGCAACTCTCTGTGGCCTTCATGGATCTTACAACGGCCTTTGATTTAGTTAGCAGGGACGGCCTTTTTAAAATACGTCCCAAGATTGAATGTCCACCTCGACTCCTTAACATCATCAGGTCCTTTCATAAAGAAATGAAGGGCATTGTAGTTTTTGATGGATCAACATTAGATTCCTTTGACATCTGAAGCAGAGTGAAAAAGGGCTGTGTCCTTGCACGGACCGTTTTGGGGATTTTTTCTGCTGTCATGCTGAAGCTGGAATTTTTAGCATGTATACATTACTGAAACAGCGATGTCTATGTTGGGTTGGACACGTTGTGAGAATGGCTGACGGTCAGATTCCAAAATATATGGAGAATTAGTGCAGGGAAAGCACCCCAGAGGGAGACTACAGCTGCGATACAAGGATATCTGCAAGCTGGATCTGAAGGCCTTAGGAAAGGACCTCAACAGGTGAGAAACCTTGACATCTTAGCACTCAGCCTGGATGCAGGCAATGCAGCATGGCCTCTCCCAATTTGAAGAGACGCTTGTTCAGCAGGCCGAGGCAAAGAGGCAGTCCCGCAACTAGTAAAATCAGGGAGCTGGACAGGGGACAGACTGTATTTGGCTCCAGTGTGGAAGGGATTGTCACTCTCAAATTGGCCTTCTCAGCCACACTAGACGCTGTTCCAAGACCTCTATTCAGAGTATGTTACCATAGTCTCTTGAGACTGAAGGATGCCTACAGATATCTTCATATATATACACTGTTTACATTATCTTTTTATCTTTTCACATAGTCTCTCATTACTGCATTTGTATGTCTAGCTAATGACATTTAGAATAACCAGCAGTCCATCCCATTAAATCTCCCCTCTGTATAATCTGATTTGAGTACTCAGTTTCTCCATCAGCACCACTGCCCATATATTATTCATATATCTTTGCAAATAAAGGTCCTGAGCATCTTTCCAGCATTGAGCAATTTTGTTCCGTGCTGCCCCTATAAGAGTTGCTATCAATTCTTTATTTGATAAATTCTTGTTTCCTCTGGTAAATAGAGAGAATAATTGTAAGGTTTCATTTAGAATTATTTTTTGATTTGATATTTTTTCTAGCCAATTAATTATCTCATACCAGAATACTTCTACTTTCAGGCAGTCTAACCACATGTGTTCTAACATTCCTTTATGGTCACACTTTCTCCAGCACAATTCTAGTATCTCTCTACCAATTTTCTATAGTTTGGTAGGACATATATGCCTCCTATGAATTACTTTTAACATAATTTATTTAAATTTTGCTGACACTAATTTGTATGGTTAAGTATTCCATATTTCCCCCCAAATATTTTCTGGCATCTCGACGTTTCAATTTGTTTCCCAAGGTTAGTTCCTTTTTCCTTTTATTATTTCTATCTATACAGTCAATTTCTAATTCTGTTAATGGTCTATCAGGTCCTGACTTCTTATAGAGTTGAGTTGGAACATTTCTTACCTGACCTAATTGAAACCAGTTAGATGCTATTTCTGTAATTTTTTCCCTTGTAACTGCCTAATTGTAAATGGTTTTCCTTGTATAAATAGATAATTTATTCTACCTTCTCACACATGTTCAAACAAAGCACCCACTTTAGTAACAAAGAGCAATAAGAAAAAAAAAAGCAGGTATTTGATATCAAATCGAGAAATAAAAAGGAGATTGAGACTTTAAAGGGCAGCCATGAAAGTGCTATACAACAACCTTAAGAGTAAGGACCTGTTGCTGGAAACCAAGCCCAAGGCCATCTATGTTACAGTTTTCCCAGTAAATACGCATGGATGTGAAAGTTGGACAATGAAGAAGGCTGCATTTGTAATGTGGTGTTGCAAAATGGTTTTAGATACCATAGACTGCCAAAGTGAAAAATAAGTGGATTCTATTGAGCCTGAACTCTCACTAGAAGCTAAAATGCCTGAACTGAGGCACATCATGAGTTGACAAGACTCATTGGAAAAGACATTAGGAAACTGAAAGTAGCAGGAATTAAGAAAGACTTAAATGTCAGATGGATTGACCCAATACACAAAGCCACGACCTTTAGTCTACATCAGTGATCCCCAACCTTGGGCATCCAGATGTTCTTGGACTACAACTCCAGAAGTCTTCACCACCTCCTGTGCTGGCCTGGATTTCTGGGAGTTGAAGTCTGAGAACATCTGGAAGCCCAGAGTTTTTTCTCCTGCAACTGTCTGAGGGAAAATACCATGTCAGTGATGAACCTATTGGCTCGAAATCCACACTGTGGTTCTGGATAGACTCTGTCTGCAAGCACCTGGAGCCTCTTCAGCACAACATGGGCAAGCAGCTTCCCTACAATGCTGAGATGTTGAACTCTTATATGAAGATATATGAGTTTATGATAAAGGTTAAGAACCACTGGTCTACATGACCTGACCAGGGTTGTTAATGAGAGGACCTTCTGGAGTCACAGTTCCACCAGAAGTTAGAAACAATTATGACACGTAACACACAGATCTCCTAAATTTTTTAACACTTCCTTGATTGATTTGTACTGATTATGAGCTTTGCAATATTTTAAGTGCAGAGAGTGAACTGTGATCTTAAAGCTTAATTCTCTTTCCAACCTTGGCAATCACTCTCTTAGTCCCAATACACAACCCCACAAAAGAAAAGAAAATACATCCTAACTGCCCTACCTTCACTTGCTCATTGGACGTCACCGCACAAAAGACAATCTCCGTGAATCCCTGTGTTGGGAACATCCTAAAGCAGATGCCACCAATCACTCGTCCATCCTTGATCAGTGCAAGAGTCTTGTGCTTACTGCCAAGAAAAATGCAGGAAATATTTAGGACTAGAGAGTCAAGTCGAGTATTCTCACACCCATCATATTTTCTTGATAGAATCTAAGAAAATTTTACGGCAGTGCCTGCCTCTTCTGCTCTCCAGCATGAACCTTCAACTGACATGGTTCCCCACCTAAAATCTGGGGGGGGGGGCTGTAAAATTTGTTGTTGTATTGCTGAGGAACCCCTTGCTCTACCTCATAAAAATACAATTCCTGAAGGGCTTGCGAAGAGGAAATGACTGCTAAACCAGATTAAACCTGTACATCATATGTACTTTGATTAGAGCCAATGGGAGAAGTACTAGGCAGTATGGAATAACAAGTCACATCCAGCCCTAGTCTTTACTTCATCTGTTGAGATGTTGAAGAATGTTCACAAATACTCTTAATATTTGAGGGCACTCACAGAAAAATGAGGGGTTTTACAGCAAAGCAGCACCAGAAGCAATACCATATTGTTCTAGGCTTTAGAGAAATAACATCTTCTATTTTCTGTTCTGCTCAAGCATGACTTTTTTCTCTCAGCCACTGTAGTTTTTGAAGGGACAGAACACTAAGATGTGGTGAAAGGTCAGTAGTCATGGAAGACATCCTATGATACCCAGGAAAAACAAGAAGCTCTGTCCTCATGGAGGGCTCAATTTCACATACAGGCCTCTTGCTATTTTGTTTGGGAAACAGGTTCTTCAATTCATCTTCATGAGACATCATTAAAAGGAAAATATCTTAATTTGCCCAATTCCATGACAGCTTTGCATTGTATGCAAAATACTAGCACAGCAACAATATTATGGTGCAATTGTTACTACAACCACCACCACCACCCCTTATGATGAAGGACGGACCACAGAACCATTGCCCAACTCACGGGTCAAAAACCAGGCGGGTGATGTACTCCTTGGGCATTCGCGGAAGTTGATGTGAAAAAACATTCTGCAGCCCGACCAGCCACATGAGGATCTTCTTGTTTGATTTCTGAGAGAGGGAGTTGCCGATGACATGGAATTCAATGATGCCACGCCGCTCCTCAAGTCGGGCTGTCTCATCGCGTGCGGCGTTCGCTGAGAGCAGACTGGTCTACAAGTAAAAGAAAAGCACAAGTAGGAATTGGGCCATGTGAACATGAAAAGGGATGGTAGCTGAGTGTTGAGACTGGGGATGGGATTGTAAAAGAAAAGCACAAGTAGGAATTGGGCCCAGTGTTGAGACTGGGGATGGGATTCGTCTTCTTTCCCTAAGTGCAGTTATGTCACGGATGGGGAACATGTTGCCCTCCATGAATTTTCGGGTGGACACTCTTGCAGTCCCTCAACATTGGCTAAGGGGAATGTTAGGAGAAAAACCTCTGGAAGGGCACAGCTGTTCACCTCCAAGTTAACCAGTCATTTCCTAAAAAACTTTGCTTCTGATTTATCTCTGTATATTCAAATTACTCAATAAACAAATAAAGGACAATGGTTTTCAATGCTCAATTCATCATCAGAATCTAAACTTATTTTACATTAAGTACTGTCTATTCAAGGAACTAGACCTCAGGAGGAGACGGAGAAAGAGGAGGAGAGGAACAAGACAATTTGTGGTAATCAGTATTTCTGATATAAATGCTGGAGAAAATATGCAACATTTAGGACAGGGAAGTCTCAAACTTGTAAGACAGAGAACGTTTTCACAGTGAAGCAAAGGTGAAAAAAATCCCCCCCCCCCGAAAGCCATCTTCTCTTGATCCATAATGGGCAAAGTCAGATATTGTACAGTTCATTTTGTGGCCTGCAACTCATTTGCCAGGTGGCTGAGTAACAACTAGCTCCCAGTCATTTGGGATTATTAGGGGGAGAATGCCTTTTGGGGTTTACAAGAGGATATAAAGCAGCCTCTCAAACTCTGAGCCTTCAGACAACAAAAGTAAATTTCGCATTGTCTGGTCAGGGCTGAATACCAACAGCAGGCAAACCCAAAGCAGGAAGGGTCAAAGCTTAACAATCTCCCCCTGAACATATCTAAACACAGCTCACAAGAACAGCTTCAAAGTTTCAGCCTGAAAGAGAAAGCAGGATGGGTTTTTTGAGGGTTTTTTTTTTTGGCTAGGCCTTTCTCCTCACACTTCTGTGTTTCAATTCAGTGAAGAGATATGCATGTCCTACAAACAAATTTGACGGTGAAGGTTGTAATGCAGTACAGTATACCCCACAAGCACTGACTATTCGTGAAACTGGTATGCTGTGTTCCATGGTAGTGAGGCTGTAACTAAGAGATAGCAAAAGTGTTAACATATACTCCTAACTTGGTTTAACATACCTCAGGGCCCAACATGGCTGCTGGATCTGTGATGGTTAACATGACTTCATTCACAAGTTCCATCGGGATGTCACCTAACACACGAATACGCTTGGCGTCCTCAAGTGTTAAGCTCTCTGGAAGTTTCCTCTTTTCACCTATAAAAATCAAAGGTTTTCAAAGTGTAAGAGATTGATTCTAGGCCCTAGGGATTCCTGCAACTTCCACAAATCATTGTTTTGGACTTGTGTACATAATGTGTTACAGTGATGCATCGACTTATGAACTTAATTGGTTCCGGAAATCCGGTTGTAACTCGAAATGGTCATAAGTTGAAGCACCATTCTCCATAGGAATGCATTGAAATGCAATTAATCCATTCCGGCCGAAGAAAAAAATCACTAAAAAAACCCACAAAAAAACAACCACACTGCAAGACCCATCAGAAACGCGATTAATCCGTTCTGGCTGAAGGAAAAAGAAAAGCAAACAACGTGCAAGACCCTTCGGAAATGCAAAAAAAGCAAAGCAAAAAGCAAACAAACCCTGCAAGACACATTGGAAATGGGGTGGACCCCAAAAGCAAACAAACCCTGCAAGACCCGTTGGAAATTGGAAGAAAGGAACCCAAAAAGCAAACAAACCCTGCAAGACCTGTCGGAAATGGGAAGAAAGAAACCCAAAAAGCAACCCTGCAAAACCCACAAAAAAACAAAGACTGCAAGATCCATCACAGCACAGAAACATAACTCTCTCCAGCCCAAAACCACACAGCAAAACCCACACTCTCTAACGGCTAGGGTGAAAGAGCTACAAAGAAGCAGCCTCTTTGTCACCAAGGGTTAACAATTTGAATTCCCCACCTTTTTTCCCTGCCTTTTTTTATCATAATGTGAAGCTCTGGTCGCAAGTCGAAGAAAAATTTTACGGCCGGAGCTGGTTGTAACTTGAAATGGTTGTATGTCAGGATGTTCGCAAGTTGAGGCACCACTGTACATCTGATTGGAGATTTTACTTCTACACAGCTGATGGATTTTGGATATTAAAGATACTGTTAATTCACTCTTGAAATTCCTGTGAAAGTATGCCTTGGATCAAGATTTAGTTAGAGCAGTTCCAGTGAAATCAATGAGACTATTATGATTTGGTTACAATGGGTTTATTCTTAGGCATGTCTAAACATGGATCATTTTTACCTCTTTAAACCAATCATCCCCAACTTGGGCTCTTGTAGTTGCTTTGGCCTTCAGCCCACCTCAGTCCAGTACGAACAGCCAATGATAAAAAATGATGGGAAATCATCTTAACCAATATGTAGAGACACTTAAGCTGGGGCAAAATGCTTTTAGAGGCACCAAACCAATGTTTACAAAGCAGTACGCAAGCTTCTGAATTTCACAAAACTCTTTAAAAGATCTTCCAGGCATCATTTTTTTCTAAGAGGGAATAAAAATCTTTCTCCCAATAGATTTTTTTCATCAAGCCCTTTGTTGCAAATCTTTAAATCCACCTGCTGAAATTTCCTAGCTGACACTACTGATTTACCTGGCACAGAATCCATTGAGCTGCCATCCAGGTTAATAGATGATAAAGATGAGCTGCAGCTGAGAGATTTGCTGAAGAGTGGAGTGCTGGCAGCAGGAACTGTGCTGATCGCTACACAGGAAAAACAACAATAATACACAGTCCTGTTAAAACATCAGCAAGGGAGAATGTTTTTCATCGACTCATTCCCGCTTCCCATTTGTACTCCACCCTTTTTTTTAAGTAGATCAAGGTGGCATGCATAGATTCTCCCGTTCTGATGCTCATAGCAACCCTATATGGTAGGTTAGGTTTTGAGATAGCAAAGGGTACAAGATGACATCCCCCCAGCCCCCCCCCATTTTTGGCTGATGGCGACAACTTCAACTAGAGTTTCATGACAATATCATATAGTATCTTCCCCAATCTTATGCCCTATAACCAGTTCTGAACTACAACATCCATCAAAACCCAGCCAGCATTCAATGGAAATGAGAGCTGCAGTCTCATAACATGTGTATGCTGTCCAGTTGGAGAAAACGGAAAACCTCCTGGAACTCAAGATAGCTAGAGAACCTAACTTTAAGTGGGGAGAGGATTTTGTTCACTGCCCTATAGGCATCATTTTGCAGTAGACCATGTCTCTGCCATTGCTAACTCCTTGGCAACACACACACATCACCAGCAATTGCAGCCTCCTTCATGCAACCACCTGGGTGTACAACAGGCACGGCAAAACCCTGTATTTGTTGAGTCTGTCAGTTTGTGGCAGACAGGTCCTTTGCCATGAGCGTGACATCTGTTTCAACACTGTCTCTGACTGATGTGCAGACAAGGAAAGGCTACATCTCAGTGGCTGAGCATGTTGCGCATGCCAAAGATCCTAAGTTCAATTTTCAATGCTGTCCATTAAAAGAACTCAAGACAGCAGAGTGAGGAAAGCTCTCTGCCTGAAATTTGTAAATCTACTACCAGTCAATGTAGGCATCAATGGGCCAGATCAGCCAACGCTGCATAATGCCGCTTCATAGGCAGTGCAGGCTAGGGACTCTTGAATCCTGGAGTGCTGAACCCATGCTTAGTTTTACTCCAGACTTCAGAGGTGCTATCCAAGGTGCTGAATCTTATCCCCCCTCCACACAAATATTCAGCACCTTGGATAGCTTATTTACTAAATTCTAGAGGAGAGCCCTTGCCTCCATGAAATCAGACTCAGCTGTAAAGCATAGTTTGAAACACTCAACAGTTTTGTGAATACAGTTTTGTGTACAGATGGATGCTAAGGAAGGGGGCGGGGTGTTCAAGAGATTTAACATACCTGGCCGGGGTACAAGTGGGGCTCCTTCCGTTGCAGGCATAGTGAAGTCTGCTTCCCAAATTGGGGAGCTCTCTCCATAGATTTCCTCCTCTAGCATCGACAGAAATCTAAACAAGGGGGTACAGACTGGAATCAGCCAGGCAAAATAATTGTGAGCTGTCCCACAAAGCCAGGAGCACTGAGCTTAGACTTAGCGTTAAGTTCAGTGCTTTTAAAGTTCCTTTTTAAAAGCAAACCAGTCCTGTTATTCATTTTGACATTCTGAAAAAAAGAATGTTGGTAATCACTGGCATTGCTTGTTATAGAGCTCCATGTTCCGTCATTAGGTTTTTGTGAGAAATCATAGGTTGATAAAAGAATGCATGAAACCTTAAAAATCCCACTCAAAACACCTCAAAATGCATTCAAATATCCTTTGAACAGCAAACAGACATTGCTAGTTCACAAACTAGAACACAATACTTGTTACACTAAAAGCCAATTAATGCATGCTTGTTACATTATTTTCACTATGTTAATTTCTTATGCTGTCACTGCCATTCCCAAAGTAACCAATTACAGTGGTGCCTCGCAAGACAAAAGTAATTCGTTCCGCAAGTAGTGCTGTCTTGCAAAATTTTCATATTGCGAAAAGCAGTTTCTCATAGGAATGCATTGTACTGTAATGCATTCCTATGGGAACCTCGCAAGACGAATGAATTATTTTTGTCTTGTAAGGCATCAGTCTTGCAGAAAAAAAAGTCTTGCAAAGCACGGCCATAGAAAAAGCCGTCTTGCGAGGCACCACAGTGATCGTAAAAAACATTAGTCTTGGCACCACTGTACAAGTAACCATATTACTTGGAACTTAGTACTTCTTAAGTTATGTGTAAGATTCAGCCCAGGAATCAAATCAAACCTGAGAAAACCGTATCCTCTGTAGAAGAAGGGTATCAATAGCTCCTGGTCATGATGGCTATATATTACCTTAAGTACTGGAGGCAACACGTTTCTTAACACTAGTTTTCGTAGAAATATAAGGTGAGGTGGTGGTGGTTGGCTTCATGTCCCATTCATGAGCTTCTTAGTTCTTAATTCAGTTGCCTTAATGGCACATCATGAAGTGTGAGTGCTCATCATGATAGGCCCATAGCTAACCCCTCACCTCCAGGAAAGTCTAAAAAACCCAGGCAAAGGTATTGCTCTATACCAGTGGTTCCCAACCTCGGTCTCCAGATGTTCTTGGACTAAAGCTCCCAGAAGCCTTTACCCTGGTTCTGCTGGCCCAGATTTCTGGGAATTGTAGTCCACAAACATCTGGAGATCAAAGGTTGAGAATCACTGCTCTATACCAACAAACTAAATGCTTTCGTCTCCACCTAGAAGAAGTCTTTGACAAAACTAAGAGGTCTTAACAGCCTATTTAAGACTAAGCCATCCCAAATACTCAGCATTACTATAGTGATAGCTTGCAATAGTATCATAGGATTAGAAAGCAGTTCTGGTCAACCCTGCCTACTGGGAATACTGTAGTGAAGAGTGAGTGATGTTGGTGCTGGTGGCAAATAACCACAGAAGTCCAGGTGTGCTAACCTCACCAGCCCTGCCTCCACTATAATACTGCTTAATTATAATTGTACAAAATCCCCCCCTTAACTGCCATTTACATCCTACTTGGTGGACCTAGAGATTCTAGCTAAAGAACAAAAACAAGGTGGAGCCATCTAACTCAGTGATTCCCAGTCTTGGGTAACTTAGATGTTAGGAATAATTGATCTAGCTTGAAATCTACTCACCCTGGATATTTTAGCCTCTCAATCTAAAACAATCTAATAATTTGAGACATAGGTTTGCCACCCTAAAAGAAGTGAGCCTAAGATTCCAAGGAAAAGGCAACTCTTTGTGTGCATGCGCACGTACACACACACACACACACAGAGAGAGAGAGAGAGAGAGAGAGAGAGAGAGAGAGAGAATCTTAAATACAAATGGCAGTCAATTGAATCAATTTCTGGATGGAGGGACAACACTAAAATACCCCATTGATTCAATGGGTTCACTCTAGTTGGGACTACAAACTGAATTCAAGCCATGCATGCATACGTGCACTCCTCCTCTCCCACATATGTGATGCTTTGTGGAACATTACTTGGGGAAATGGGTGAGGATGAGGGTCCGCTTCTCTGGCACCAGCTTGTCTTTTTCCACACGGAATTTCTCTAGCAGCTGCCGTCGAGTAACTGTGAAAGTGGACTTGAGGAGGTTGCGCCCAAAGACCTGGGTGGTTTCGTAGCGAGGAAGACTGTCACAGCTCTGGGGAACATGGCAGTAACACAGCCACCTGGAGAGAAGGACGGAAGAGTGGCAATGAGAACCAATGGATCCACAAAAGCCTTAGGCCTACTTGCAGGGATATAAAATAAAGGCAAGTTCAAGGCAAGAGATGTAGGTTGGAAGAGGAGACACTGTAATGTGACTAGAAAGTTGAATACCGAACACAGGGAGCTGGCTTGCACCATGCTAGGACATTTCTGTCCAGGTGAACATCAGAACTTGGAAAAGTTGCTTTTTCAGGAATATAGCTCCCAGAAATCAGAACCATTTTTCAGTCATGGTGTTATTTAAAACAAACAAACAAACAAATAGAAAAATGCTATGTGCCATTGTTGCCCCCTGGAGGAATATATTACAAGTAATGGTGCTTCCAAGCCTTGCCTCTAGCACAACAAAATTTGGGCAACTTCTAAAAAGTAGAAAGACTGTGCTGGTGGTGGCAGCAACGTTCCCCTCTGGGAGTGATGTTTCACAAAAGGAGGATTGCTCCATAGGATGAGAAGCACCAGGTTTTTGAATCTCCAGTAGCTACTCAGGAGGAAGGAAACGAAGTATTCGTTTTTTTTTAAAAATAACATGATGGCTAGAGACAGGCCACACATTCCAAAGCAAAGCACTGATACAGTCATAGCCAACACATGCTCTGGTAAATCTTGGCTCTGCTTTCTGCAGTACACCCTCTTCTTCTGAAACTCACCGGGTGTAGTTAACCTTATAGGTTGCCACATCATCGTTTTGTGAACGCTGGCGGAACTGGGATGGCGTTTCTAGTTTCCAGTAGTTTAGGCACAGAAGAAACATTTTGGACAGCTCAAACATGGTTTGCCGCTCCTTGGGGGGTAAGTGACTGAACTTGTACTGCACAAAGTTTAAGACACCCTAGGAATGAGAAAGGAGAACAGGTGGTATATTCTAGCAACAGAACAACATTAAAATAAACATATATACAGTGGTGCCTCGCATTACGATGTTAATTCATTCCAGCGAACTCGCTGTAGAACGAAAACATCGTAAAGCGAAATTATAAAGCCCATAGAAATGCATTAAAACCCAATTAATGCGTTCCTATGGGCTTGAAACTCACCGTCCAGCAAAGATCCTCCACAGCGCGGCCATTTTCGCTGCCTGTGCAGTGAGGAATCCATCCCAGAAAACAGCGGGCGGCCACTTTTTTTACCCGCGGTCATTTTGAAACCGCCGAACAGCTGTAGGAAAATTGTCGTTTTGCGAGAATCGGTTCCCGAAGCAGGGAGAAGCAATTCAAAAAACACTCAAACAACCAAACAGACAAAACAAGACAAAACAATCAAAGGGTTTTACCTGTTCAATGTTTGGTTTTTCAAAAGGAGGACTCCCAAGAGATCCCTCAACAACTGGTCGACTCATCTGCAGAATGCACTTCCTAAGGAGCTGCAGAGAAAGAAAAACAAACTTGAGAATTTGTTGTGTTTGCTGGAGCAGGTCTACCTGAGCCTTTCCAGAATCTTACGGAATCAGGAGAATGCCCATGATCCAGTCTGCATGGTTTCCAACCAAGCTGTGTACCATTTCCATATTGACTCAAAATCACACAATTCAAATTTATTAAATTATTTAATCCTTATACTTGGAAAGGAAATACTTACCTTGTATGAGCTGCTGGTATTTCCTGAATACTACCATTCCCGCCCTGCAATTCCACTGAGGGCGAGGCGTATGATTCATGCCTCACTTTCTCAATGAGATTTCCTCCATGAAAGAAATTTCAATTTCCCCTGAATGAAGCCGACCTACTAAGAACCAAACCATTTCAACTTCTACTTCACTGTATCTTTCACTGAAAAATGACATGAGACATTTTTGTCCCAATATACCGGTTACATTACTTGTAACAAAACAGTGCCCCAAAAGAAACAGCAATAGATTCCTTGGGACTTTTTAATCTCCTCTCTGCTATTTCTTTGTTAGAAACCATATATACGGCAAGTGACTGATATTTGGAAACACGGAAATCTATTAAGTCTGAGTCTACTTGGATTCTATAACAAAACATGACTCTAAAGGGCCAATGTATTCCATCTTGTTGCACTGAAGTTAAGTCAGGGCTAAAAAAAAAATCAAGCAGTCCAAAAAAGACAGTCTTTTTGTCTCCATTTGTCTCTCTCCTATCCACAGCAGTCTCCAACTTTATCTTAGTATCTCAGAGTCATTTCTTACCTCCATTAAACAGACACAGAAAAGGGGAGGATTGAAGATAAAAAGAAGAAAGGGGGGGAAAGGGGGGGGAAGTAATCATAGGAGTGAGAAATATATGATCTCAAGCAATGGTAACAGCATTGGAAACAAGGCTAATATGCCTTTGTATGCCTACTCCCTTTCAAATATACAGACACACAGAGAGACTTTTGATCTGCAGAACCACCATCATGCAGGCTTCTTTTCATTTTCACTGGATTCTGAAACATCCCAGGAACTACACTTCATTCTTTTCCCCACTACAGTCGTGCCTCGCTGGGTGATTACCCCGTTTAACAATGAATCCGCTTAACGCTGATGTTTTTGCGGTCACAAAACGATGGCCGAACAGCTGTAGGAAAATTGTCGTTATGCCGTTTAACCTGCTTTGGGAACCGATTTTCGCTTTACGATGATCAACAAACAGCTGATCGTCGGGGTTCAAAATGGCCGCCGGCTGAAGAAAAGCCCCCCCCCCGCCGCTGTTTTTAGGACTGATTTTTCGCACTACAGGCACCGAAAAAGGCTGCCCCTATGGAAGATCTTCGCTGGACGAGCAGGTATTCAGCCCATTGGAATGTATTGAACGGTTTTCAAAGCGTTTCAATGGGTTATTTCGTTTGACGTTTTCGCTCCACAGCGATTTCGCTGGAACGAATTAACGTCATCAAGCGAGGCACTACTGTACCCCACAGTCACCTCATTTGTTGTATGCTGATCTGCCTCCCTGATTTTAATCAGTTCTTCACTGGAGGGGATGGACATATCATAACATAGCAAATCTTTGGGAAGAACCCATTCTGTGGAAGCTGGTTTTTTTCAAGCACAGGATTAAACAATAGATTCTTACAGCTGCATTATCTGAATGAGGTGCAACAAGATCTTGAAGGCATTTTGCAGCCTGAGACAAAGGACAAGACAGCAGCCCACCTCATTCCAAATACAGAAGACGACATGGTTGGCCACTGTATCTTTGTTAAGCACTGGTAATGGGACTGCATCCTCCATATTGCATAGGGGCAGAAGGCTAGCTTAAACCACATAGGGCAGGTTGCTCAGAATACACAATTCTGTCCTTCAACAGAGGGGAATGGAGCAGGTTTACTACTGCTTCCCTCTTCACACCACCCAGCATCTGCCATCAGAAACAACAACGCAACTATGCCTAATGGTAGGGCTGACCCTATCAAGCTGACAACAATTCTATAAATAAAAACAATGTTGATGAGAAATGCCAGCTTAGGATATCTCAAACTTGTTCTTTTGCTGAGCCAAGTCTCTGCTCAAAAACCACTACAGACATTCCTGGGTGTTCTCCTTCCCTTACCGGGACTCACCTTGAACAGGTAGAAATACACCTGCTTGGTGTCAGTGTCCTCTTCCTTGTGCACAGACATGAAAAGGTTCTCCACATCTACCACCATTCCCAGAAGCCGATTGATCTCTTCCTCAGAGACATTCTCCAGATGAGACACATGGTCAGCTAGACAAAGAAGAGAGGTCATGCTCTATATGTGGTTTCTTCAAGCCGGGGGATGCAATGATCTACAGTCATGTTCAACACCATTCAACTTTCTATCCTCCCTCTCTCCAAAGCTGCTGTGCTTATGTAGAAACAGAAGTAGGGCTGGGTATGATTTAGCAGCTCACTAAAATGTTACAAACAAGGTGAGTTGTGAAATTCTCCAGAACTTTTTTGTCAAACATGGATACTAGAAAATTGGGAGGGATGAAGAAGCAAGCAATCCAAAAACATGACAAAATGAAAGCCACTGTACTTAAAATCAGACCAATGGTAATAAGGCAAGAGGTGAACTGCAGAACCAACATAAAATGAGATACCAAGATAGCAGTGGAGATAAAAGTCATTAGCCTGCTTTCAAGGAGAATGGATCTAATCCAATTTTTTAGATGCTCTACATCTTCACTGGTCCTCAGAATCTGCTAATCTTTTTCACTGATCAAGAGTTGGGGACAACTCAAAAGCTTATTTTGTTTGTCACCTTTCATTGACCCTACAAAAAAGCATTATTCAACCAAGACTTTTGTTTCTAGACACGAATCATGTGACTACTTTGATTTTTTTGGTGTTTATGTTGCAACAGCTGGGTATGTCTGCCCTACACAAGTTTGTGGCTTACAACAGGTATTGCTTTTATTGTTTTTTTGTACTTTTTATCATTGAAATGCCCAAATACTTTTTTTAAGGAGTCCAAGCAAGGGGATGAAAACAGCAGCTGCAATGGCCTGTACAACAGAGGGGAGACATTCCAGAGGTCTAGGGTCTACATACCTGAATCCAGGATCTTGGTGGGCTGCATCTGTTCCTAAAATCTCACCCCAAATATCGTTTTCTTCACCACCACCCCACATTTTAACTGAAAGATTAAAAACTGAATTAAGTTCCTAGTGATCAACTGCTTTTAAACTGGGGAGACAGCGTGGGGACTCAAGGATGCTGGGTGCCTCAAAACATGACAAACTTGCTCTCTATGTTACCTACGGGGCACAACGGAGCTTAGTGGACAAATCTAAAAAATGATGTCGAGGGCTGTGTGAAGATATTGGGGGCCACATTTGGGCTCATGGAAGTCATATGCTGCCTGTGGGAAACATAGTGATGGACTGGGCAGCAATGTTCCCTCTAATTTTCAGTCCCACTGGACAGGTCTCTGCTCTTCTGCAACTCCTCGCCCCCCCGGTGTTGTTGTGAGCAGAACCAAAAGGGTTGGAAATGCTTGTTTTGGGTGTGCAGAGAAGGAGCACTGCATGGAGGAGGGCGCAGTGTTGTGGACCCACACAGCCACAAAACTTAGAGGGAACCTTGCTGGACAGCCTAGGAGAAGTCATTTTCTTGCAGCCTAAACCACCTCACCGGGATGTTGAGAAACCTGAGTTTTATTCAATGAAAACTGGGAAATTATATCAAACAGCAGCCAGTGGTTTTTACTTGGCAAGCAGTATTCTGAAAGAACAGGGAGGAAAAAAATGACAAATTACAAGCAAGGGGAAAATAAGGAAGTATGGCCACCCTCTAGATGTTGTTGGGTGCCACTTCTGAGAGCCTCTACCACTGGCTGCAGTAGCAGGGTCTGATGGAAGCTGGGAGTCGCATAATATCCAGAGATGTTTCCTGCTTTGTCTCATAAACCTCCGCTCTCATCCTTTCCAACTGCTGGAAATCAGAACATCACTTTTACACAAGTAAACGAGTTAAGACTCCTCTCCTCTGTGTTGTTATAAAGTTCCACAAGCGAGAGCAGACTAATTGTGTTCCTAATAGGGCCTTCAAGGTAAGTGAGATATTTAAGTTGTGGCTTTTCCACTTCCATCCCCCACTTCCTGAGTGGCTGAGTGGAGATTTGAAGCCAGGCCTCTTGAGTCCTAGTTCATCACTCTATTCATTGCACCACACTGGGTTTCCCCCCTGCCAGTGATAATCAGCTTGCTAACACAAAAGGAGAGAAGGGCATGAGGGACAAACGGTATCTTGTATGATTACCTAGCGTGTGCCCACAGCTACGACAGGGCTCATTGAGATTGGTGACTGTTTGCTGCAGGTCCATGCGGGGGGCCGTGGGTGGGTTTGGGTTCTTCCAGCCATTGCATTTGCAAGAGTCATTAGCCTGGAGAGGCGAAGAAAGAAAGAGGTTTTTAAATTGATCAGTGTTTTATATATATAGGGCCCTATGAGAATGTGGAATCCAGCTTCCAGCCAGCAAGGCCTATGGCTGGGACTCACAACAGTTGAGTTGGGGAGATTATTATTTTATTTTATTTGCAGTTTAACAAGATATGGAGAACCACCATTGGTATAAAGCAAAAGTACCACAGAGGCAAAATTCCGACCAAGGATACCAAAGGTTAAGATATGTGTTTTCAGAGCTTGGAAACATTAATTTTTGGGATTGCACGTTCATCCAGAATCCTTCAGCCAGCACTGACAGTGGCTACACTGGCTGTGGGATTCTGTGGCAGGATGTGGTCTGAAAAAGTAATGTTTTCCAAGCACTGAAAGCTACACATAATGCCATCATACAAAGCAGAGCCAGGCTAAATCAACTGCTCTCAGACATTTTTGAGGGAGAAGGAATGGAATTTTCAAGGAATGGGGAAAGCGTCCTTGATTGGAACCAACCCCCCTACCCGTTTTGAGCACTGTATTTCTGTCAATCTGCACCAACTGTTCTCATTCCAAACAACATGAGGCCATGGTATTCGAAACACTAATTTTTCCCATATAAATTTGTCCATGCTTTAAAACACATCAAAAGTCAAAGATTCCCCTGAAAAGCAGTTGGGATCCTCTCCCTAACCCTAAATATTCCAAAATACATTGGAAATGTGTATTCAAGCATGCAACAAGGCACACAGTTAATCAGGCATTCACAGTGGCACACCTTTTTTCAATGTGCCAGGATATCCAAGTTTCCAGGTGGATTTTCTCTACTTTAAAACATTCATTTGGCATGTGTTACTACATATGCAGGATGATATTGCACATATTTGTCTGCTTAGAACCTTTATCCCACTGCAGATATCTGCAAAGGATGGGTTGCTTCGATTGGAGGAGACTCACTCCAAATCAGTCCACCAAATAGTACTACTTGTGTCCTGATGAGAAAGCCTGTCCATGCACTTGTATGCTCTTCTTAGGGGGTCTCTTGTTGTTGTTTGTTGTTTAGCCATTAACTCGTGTCCAACTCTTTCTGGTAAAATTCCTCTGTGTGTTCTTGCCACCTCTTCTTGATGTCTTCTGCTTCTGTGAGGTCCCTACCATTTTTGTCCTTTATCATATCCATCTTTGCACAAAAGGTTCCTTTAATATCTCCAATTTTCTTGAACAGATCTCTGATTTTTCCCTTTCTATTATTTTCCTCTATATGTCTGCACTCTTCGTTTAAGAAGGATCTCTTGTCTTTCCTTGCTATTCTTTGGAAGACTGCATTCCATTTTCTGTAACTTTCCCTATCTACCTTGCATTTGGTTTCCCTTCTCTTCTCTGTTATTTGTACGGCCTCACTTTGCTTTCTTGCATTTCCTTTTCTTTGGGATGGTTTTTGTTGCTGCCTCCTGTACAATGTTACGAGCCTCCGTCCATAGTTCTTCAGGCACTCTGTCCACCAAATCTAATTCCTTAAATCTGTTCTTCACTTCCACTGTGTATTCACAAGGGATTTGGTTTAGATTATACCTGACTAGCCCAGTGGTTTTTCCTACTTTCTTCAGTTTAAGCTTGAATTTTGCTATAAGAAGCGGATGATGAGAGCCACAATCAGCTCTAGGTCTTGTTTTTGCTAACTGTATTGAGCTTCTCCATCTTTGGCTGCAAAGAATATAATCAATCTGATTTCGGTATTGCCCATCTGGTGATTTCCATGTGTAGAGTCACCTCTTGTGTTGCTGGAAGAGAGTGTTTGTGAGGATCAGCTTGTTCTCTTGGCAAAACTCTATTAGCCTTTGCCCTGCTTCATTTTGAACTCCAAGGCCAAACTTACCTGTTGTTCCTTTTAACTCTTGACTCCCTACTTTAGCATTCCAGTCCCCTATGATGATAAGAACATCTTTCTCTGGTGTCAGTTCTAGAAGGTGTTGTAAGTCTTCATAAAAGGTAAAGGTTCAGGTTCCCCTTGATATTTTTAGTCCAGTCATGTCTGACTCTAGGGGGCGGTGCTCATCACGTTTTTGAAGCCGTAGAGCCAGCGTTTGTCTGAAGACAGTTTCCGTTGTCACATGGTCAGCGTGACTAGGGAACGCCGTTTTACCTTCCTGCTGAGGTGG